TTTCCCACCTACTCTCATAGATTCTTTCATTTGCATAAAATTCAGATGTTCCCTTATTGCTATGGGTTAAAACAAACAAACAAACCTGTACAGTTTCAGTCACAAAATTATCTTGGAGGAGAAGGGATAAGAACAAAGACAAAGATTTCCCCAGCTAGAACAGTAAGCTCTGCTTTTTTTGAATGGGAAATTTACAACACCTTGCAAAGGAACAGATTTACTAGATTTACTGTTTATGACATAATATAATCATAATGTTGTTTATGGCATTGTCATACGTTCATGCAAATTCTGAAGAATATGTCATCTTGCACGTAAATTTCCCTTTGGTGCTCATCTGGAAGAAATGCACCCATCTACATGTTCTTAAACTTGCAAAGGTAACAGAGATATGGGAAATAATTCCCAAACATTTTACATAGCAATTCAATTGAAATTGTGCTAATGGTGTGGCAAATGGAGCAAGAAGCCAGGATATACAAAAATATGAATACCAGAAACTTTAATTTCATGACAGTGGCATATTTAGCTACTGAATTAACAAGATAAAAAATATGGGGAAAAATTTGTTTAGCACTTATGTAGCCCTTTTTATCAGATTTCTGTGCTTTGCAACATAACCAGTTAGAGTTACAGAAACAAGCACTGCAGTGTATTTCAGTTTTGCAGCCTTAATACAGGATCAGCAAAACCATGCATGGGAGGAAGTAGTTGGTTCCTCTACAGCTTTAACCTGTATGTGCTCCTAAGAGGAGAAAAAAAATCAGTTTGAAATGTTTGGCTGGTGATACTTACAAGCCTTTCCAAAAAAGCCCCTGAAACGTTGTAGCCATGTAGTCACAGGCACAAGCAGCACAGGGATAGGCATCCCTGAACTTTAGGGCATTTTCTACACGTTTGTTATGCAATCGTCACACAGGTATAACTACGTTAAATCAGAGCCAACTGATGTCAATGCTAAAATGCTCAGAAGCCCCACAGCAAGACATCTTTACATTTGTGAAGTGTTAACGCGCAATATAAACATTTTGCCTTCCAAAGCCACCATGTATATCAGAATTTCAAGAGCAATTAGTGTAATACACAGAAACACACGCACACAGATGCACATACAGAAAGTTCTTAAATGTCTAATATTTTTACATGAGCGTAACCATTGTGCTGGAGGACCTAGGAGACCTAGGCAAAAGGAGGTCCTCCCTCCCCTTCACAAATATATTCGTGTTTCAAATGAAAGATATCCTGTGCAGGAACAGTGAACAAATATTTTTTTCTGGATAGCAGTTTAAAAATTGTAACATACACTTTAATGAGTTTTTTTTTTTAAACAGGCTAAAGGAAAAAAAATATTGTATACGTATTGTTATAGTTGTGTGTTAAAGGAATTCTTCACAGTAGACAAAGCCAAAAAGGAGATTTGTTGACATGGTCCCTCCTCTAAGAAGGGAGATACCAACAACTGTATCAATGAAATATCTGTAGTGCGGCTTGGCGTGCTGGGAATTGGTAAGAAAACACTAACTCACTTTACAAAACCAACCAGCCTTAAAAGATGTGCAAGAGGTCCATGAACAGACTCAGGTTTGTGAGGTGCCCAGCTCCCTTCCTGAAAAAACTGAACTGTTATGGGCAGAAAGGAGGAAACAAAGCAGTAAATTTTGTATAAGCAGGGATTATCGGCTTAGTAATTTACTGCTTTCTTCAGCAGAAGCTGGGAAAAGGCTAAATGCAAGTCACGAGAAACACTAGTGGAAGCGAGTGCTTGAAGAACCCTTCCTCCCAAAGATTATTATTATAAAGTAGCATATACCTTCTCTCTTTGGCTATGTAATAGCTGCTGCATTTCTCTCACATAAGTAGCCAAGCTCTTGTGCAAGTAAGGTACTCAAGCCAGCAGCAAGCGTTAGAAAATAAAATCCAATTTTAGACAGCCACTGCTGAGCGGCTGGGCTCAGTGTGGCCTTTTTAATAGATGCGGAAGAGAAAAGGATCCATAGGGTTAGAGGAAAATTTAACTAAAAATAGGAATATGCTTAAGAAGAAAACAAGAGAAAAACAGAGGAAAATAATGAAAAAGAAAAAATTAACTAGAAAAGTAGAAATCTTAAAAGAAGTAGCTGTAAAAGATCAAAAACGACTCCAATCATCTAACTAAAGATTCATCTTGACACAGAAATGATTTTCTTCTTTTTTTTCCCCCTCTGCAGAACTATGGTATTCATGGTCCAATGCACATGAAGAAGAAGAAAATAAAAAGTGTTTTACATCTGTGGTGGGAACAATGATTGAATCCATTTTTGGAAAAGACAGTGATTCCTTCTAAGAAATTGCTCCTGGGTTTTCAAAGCCATCAGCAATTTAAAAAAAAATTGAAAATAATTTTTTTTATATTCACCGCCATACTTAAAAGACTGCCTCTAAAATTGAAAAGTGTATCCGTGCACTGCTCTGCATCCTAGTAGCATTAGCAAACCATTAGTACACATAGCTATGTACACTGTTCAGTAAAGCATCTACTCTTCTCTTCAGATGAAGTATTTCTTTAATTTATCTCCTAGCACTGGATAGCCAGTGATTTTAGCTATAAGGGCTACCTGAGACTCATGGGACGGTGTGCTTGGCCTATCTTCCCTTGCATAGCGGTTTACGTCTTGCCTTGCCAACCTGGCACAAGTAGCAGGAAGGAGTTTCTGAACAACTGAACGTCCAACGGAGCAAGCTACATCTGTGATTAAGAGTGTTACTGTCTGCAAAGTCTTCACTAACCCCAGGGCTACGAAGTGGGGGAACAACCGCCTTGTTTGACCTAATACCCTAGTCTCATATTTATTTGTGATATAACCACAAAGAAAGAGGGCACAGAAAACCTCACACAGCCAGAATAAGATTCAGCCTTTCCTCCTAGTCCATCTGGTGCAGGGAGTGAGGAAGCAAGAGGAGGAATAGCAGCATGCCTTCTAGCAGGTAATGCTCATTTTCTAACTCCATGTATGGAGTTTGGCATCAACAGACAGATCAACTCAGAGGTCTCGAGAAGGCCACAAGTACGAACGTTCTCGTTGCCATCTCAGGGCAGATTTCTCACTAGCTGCAAATGATCAGAAAGAGACTCTGAAGATAACCATCTAATAAAATATATAGAAGGTATGCATCTTTTCCCATTAACAAAACAAGATAATAATTATGAAAATAATCTGCTGTATGGTCAGGGCTAAATAATACCTCTGGAGTTACAAATCATACCTATTACATAGATGTTGAAGCAGCCACTGAACAAACCTGAATTCTCATAGAGGTTCTATTTAGTTAGCTACAAAAAACATTTTTCCTTTAGCACCACAAAGCAGCAGTCAAATCATCTGATCATTATTCCCTATCAAGGGAATCACAAGTGTTTCCTAATTCCCTGCTACATTAAGGGGCAAGGTTAAACTACATTGGCAGTAAAACATTGTCATCGTAACGTATGGAAACAGCCATTGTATTATACAAACAGAAAGAGACTTCACTTTGTTTCAGTGCATTGATTATTTTATTATGCTGGAATACAATGCCCCTTTTCACCCAGAGAATAGGCAAATACATTATTTCCCAATTCATTGCAACAGAGCCGCAATGAGTTAAAGCATGCCTGAAAGAAACCTTGAGCCATTAGGACCTACTATTTTTACTACTGCTAAATTTCAAGCAATTCACATGCCCATCACTTAAAGGCTGTATTGTAAGCCAAATGCTGCTTGCAACACATACCTAATGTGCAGCACTGTGGCTTTTGTTTCCATTTACTCTCCCTGGTATGTGAAAAAGTCTATTGCAAACACTCACAGCACAAACTCATAAACGCCTTGCGATTCCCATTTGAAGATTACTAGAGATCTTAATAATCTGTCAGAAAAGTTCCTGTGGACTGAAATAACGAAACAGGTTTTATATGGTTTTACATGTATCATTACATACCTCACTTTTTTTTGCAAGAGAGCTGATAACAGGACAGTTTTTCAGAAAAACATGCAGAATTGAAAAATCTGAGCATCAATAACATTTTGTGGTATACCTTGACAATAAAATTTTAAGAGGAGCTTCTCCACTGTATTGTGCTATGACTTGCAAAGGCTGAATAAACATGACCGCCTTTAGACTGCCAAGTCAAAATACTAGCAAAGGCAGGAATGGATGCTAACCAACCAGACCTTAAAAACACAGGTGTTTCCTCTGCCATACCATATGGGTCTTGCTAATCCACTCCCCTGACATGCAAAGGTTTTTCCACTGGCCCAAAACAAGCAGCGGAAAACAGGATTCATCACTGGATGGCTCAAGAAAAGCACGTGCACTGGAATCTCATATGACCTGCTACAGCTTGTGAAAATCACTATGTGTACCAGAGCATGATGACTGAGTGAAATGATTAATATCAGCATTGTTTCTGCTCAGCTTTATCATACTTCAGAAATTGGCAAGTCTCTGACCTGAGGCATCCTGAGTGCTCCTATCATAAATGCCACAAATACTATAAAACTACATGTGAAAGAAAGAAAAATCCCAGTTTGAAGTTTATACTCCCAGAGTTTCAGATTAAATTTCTGGGTATTTTTGCATAAACCACCTTCGCTGATACCAAAAAAAAAATGTAACTTTCCTCATATGCCATGTTCTTAATAGGCGCCTAATTGCCATTGGGCTCACTGGGAATTAGGTTGGCTAGATGTTTTAGGATTGCTGGTAAGAAAGTACAAGGGAGGAGTATTAACAAATCTTCAGCCCAAAACAAAAGAAGAATAAAGCGTGCTCACTCAGGCTTTCAGCACACACCAAGGACAAGTGAATTCTAAAAGGGAGGGGGGAAGCCCAGCCTGGCCTAGCTGCCACTGCAAAAGAGGCTGCTGCGTTCAAATCAACTTTGAACAAACCCCATGCGAACCTCAGTCCTTTCTGCACCGTCACAGCAGGTACGGGGCAGAGAAACCCTCCTCCCCTGCGGCTGGGGAGCTACATATTACCTGTGGAGTCAAATATAATTGGCTGGCAGTTTCTGTTTGAATTCCAGTTACATTTGAGCACTTGGCCTCCTTCTATAATGTTGTGCTGGGTAGTGTTTGCTTTTGGAGCTCCCACAAGAAGAAATACGCTGCAGTAAAAAGAGAAAACAAAACAAAAGTTTCAAAAGCTAACACACAGACATTACTATTTTATGACATTTGTACAGTAAAGAAAGCAAAGGCCTTACCCATGAAATACAAATCTGACTAAAACTACTTTGTGTTTCAGAAAAACTCATATGAGGTTTTACATCTTGGGTCACTCTTGCCTTCAAGCAAGAGTAGGTAAAATAAAACATTGACCAAAAATGAAAGGGAGAGAAAAGAAGATAAATACAGATTTAATTAAAAGTATTCTCATCTTCCTAGACAGATATTTAAAATGAAATAAACACCTTTTATTTTCTTTTTTCCTCTGAAAGATATGCATATATGCAGCGGAACAGGAAATCATGTACCTCTATGATTAAAGTCATTTTCTGGCATCATTTTCAGTTAATTTTGTACATCACAGCAATTGACGATACACAACATAGCGCTACTTTCGAGCTCAGAAGATACTGAAAGGTGGTGAGTCAGCCTAGTACTAGTAAATCCTCTTTTAAAAAAGAATCTCCAAGAACCCAAGTTACTGTCAACCACAGGTTTGTACGTTAATAAAACTTTACTGAAATTCATTACATAGCAATCATTTCCTTAAAACCTGTTGCACTTCCGTAAAACTTTGTTTATGTATGTTCTCAAGCGCGTCTGAGCAAGAACAGCCCTGAGATTATGCTTCTGCAGGCAGCAAAATTCAGAAGTTGCAAAAGAAGAAAGACTAAATAAAAAATGAAACAAGACTACTAACAGCTTCCAGGAACTCCAACACATCTATGAAACACACTTGACCATTCAGCATTTTCCTTAAGAAGTCAAACAGGAACATCGTACAGACATAAAACTAAACGCTTACTTTTATAGAATCTGCTCTATTGTTTCCATTTAGACTGCTAAGAGAGAACGAGAAGGTAACTCTTTTCCCCCTGTATCATGTATTACGGTTACTTAATTTTGAAACTGGCTTAGCTGAAGAAGCTGCAAGACTGGTTGGAGAGAGCGTTTACAGCTAGACAGATCCAGACTCATCAACCTTGTTCTGGGTTTTAATAGCTGCCTTCCAGACTTGACTTTAGTACAGAGCTACACTTTTACTTCCTAGTAGGTAAATATCTCATACAAATAAGTAGTACTTCATCAAAGCACAACTGATATGAAAACCCATATAGTTCAATAGTTGTCAACTCTGTTGAATTTACAAAATTTTCTGGACCCTGATAGAACATTTAGGCTACTTGGAAATAATTTGTTCCTCTAAGCTGCTATTCATAAACCATCTAGATTCTAAGAACAAGAATTTGAAATGTGGTTATCAACTTAGTTAAAACGTTCTCTCTAGTCATAAGAGAAATACAAATATATGTGTATATATATATATATACATGCACACACACACACATATATATATAATGCCAAAGAAAGAAACATATTAATTGCTGTAATTAAAACCTGTCAGACAGGTGGTGACTTGCCTCCCAGTTTACTCTTGATTACTGAATATTTATATGTTTGAATATTAGTTTAAAAAATTCATTTCCATTCTAATCATATACTTTAAATCTTTAAGATAATCTTTGTGAAGGTTAAGACAAAAGGAATCATTATGATTTATGAATCCAAAGATTCAGTCACCTCTTTTCCCAAGGGTGTAAGGGGGGGGGGGGGAAGGGAAGACATGAGTGGATTTTGCCATTGGGCTTATAAAGCGCCAGTAATATTAGAAAGAACGCTTGCTACGTACAAATAAGTCCCTAGTCTGGGTACTTTGGGGAAGGGGAACATAGTCGTCATTCCTATGGGAATACAAAGACTACGTTTTGGTACAACAACCTGCCCAACATGCTGCACACAAGACTGGGAGTATATTCACATCCTCAGCAGTTTTAGTTATATGAGTGTACTTATTTATAGGAATAATCGTTCACCAGTGCTTCGCCGTGTGCCAGTGAAGAAGATCATGTATTTTCATATCCTTGTATGCTAGAAAGACAGATTATCAAATGCAATTCTTCTAGAGTACAGCACATACGAAAGATATTTTTTAGTTTTTATAAAGTCAAGTTCAATCATGTCGTTTCATAGCTATGTCGTCTGCCAGGCACTATATAGTATCCTGATACAATACTACCATTTTGACTCCCAGAAAAGTTCTTTCGTATTGGACTTCTAAACATACTTTATTTTGGTATCCAGTAGGTCAAAACAGATTATAAAACAGAAGCATGAGCTTTCAGGTACTACTAATACTCATTTGTTGTAAGCCTAATCAATGCAGACTGCTTTAGCCAGACCAAACTTATTTACTTTCTGCTGTTCTTTAACTGTTTCATGTAAAGAACAGGTGATAAATCACAATTCTTCAAAGCAACAGCAAAGGTGTGGGAATCAAGTAACCCACATCACAAGTTTGACAGAAATCGTGTAACAAGACTGATTTTAATAAATGTCTTTCGCTAATCATGCTGCAAAACAGTTCACTCAAGTTCTCTACAAAACATTCAACTGTAGACATCTCTCTAACTTGCTGTCCATCACTACCTGTCTCTGCCCTTCAATAGCTTAGGAGAGATTCAAGTATTCCAGTCTGCATTTCGTACTTGCTGCCTCTCTTATAAGTCAGGAAGAGCCATGGGCCTGTGTCTGCAGGATGCTTCATACAATTATTTATTTATTTCCGTAAGCAAAAAAAAAAAAATCGGTCTCCATATGTTGAAACTTAACGTTTACCACCATTAGAGCCTGCTCCTGTAAAAGCTGCATAGCTGCTTTGTTTTAATCGTGTGGATAAATATAAGATAAACTATGGTACTACAATTTAGTTTAGGAGATACAGATTAACTTTTATTCAGACCTAAAATTAAAAAGAGAAAACATCCTTGAAAATATCAGTGTGTGTCTCAGGCAATCTGAAACACTCTAGTGTTCAGAGTTGCAAAAAGTCCTATTTTTTTTGCAGCCATGCGCTTTGAGGTCAATAGCTATTAATAACATAGGGGAAAGATTCCAATCAGTGACGTCAGCGACAGCTGGGTGACATAACTCCTTATTAGAAACCAAGGAAGAGGGTTTACTATGTGCGTTTACCAGTCTCTTAGGAACTCTGCAGCCACACATGCTGAATTAAAAATAAAGCAAGAAACAAAAATAATTTGTTTGTAAACAACAGGATTTACAGGATTAAGACAGCAGAGAAAGATGTTGCAACACACACAAGCCAAGGCAGGATGATCTCTAACGTTGTAGGCAACAAAGAAACGCAACCAAGGCTGGATGATGTACTGCAAGGAGTCTTGCTCAACAGCTACAGAATTTGCTTTAAAAGTCTACAAGATTTAAAAAAAAACAAAATAAAAGGCAGAAGCAAGATGGAAAATCCTCTCAGCCTGACGAAACCCAGTAGGCTTTTCCAGCTGTAAAGTGCTTCCTTAAGATGGGGCAGGAGGAAAAAGGTGGCAAAACCTAGCCCTGAAAGCAGCCCGCATCCAGGCACCAGAGGAGCCCCTCACAGCAAGAGGCAGACCTCACAGTTCAGCGACCCGACCGCGGGACAGCGCGGGCGCACCCGCCGCTGCAGCTTTCGCTTCGGAGCGCCGCTTAACCCGACGCTACAACATGTT